AAATCAATTAAAAAAAAAATAGAAGCCACCTATTGTTATATTTGGCAACATTGATGCATCTAAATATAAATATGCTGAATAAAAGAAGCCAGACAAAGAAAAGTATACAGATGATTCCATTTTTATGAATTTCTATAAAATTCTAGAAAGTGCAAACTAATTTACAGTGACAGAAAGCAGATCAGTGGTTTCCTGGGAAGGCAGGGTGGGGCTGGGAAAGACAGGATAGAGAGATTACAAAGGTACACTGGAGAGATTTTTGGGTAAATCATTAAACTCAATCTCTTGATTGTGGTGATGATGTCAAGGATGTATACGTTTGTCAAAACGCATCAAATTGTACATTTTAAATGTGTGCAGTTCTTTCTATGTCGATTATATTTCAATAATGCTGTAAAAAAATATGTTCTAAGAGACTATTGGTAACCTTCAATAATGGAATTTGTTTTATGAAGTTTTGCTTGAAATACTGAATATTGCAATTACTTACTGGATATTATTTTCACTAACTCATCACTTTTACTCAGGAAAACACCCCATAATTTCATACTCTAAAACTTTACTCATAATTTCTTCCATAGAATTCTCAAGAGCACAATAACATTCAAAACAACATATCCAAACGATCATTTCACTTTTCAAAGTTTTCATTAACTTAGTAGCAGAAGCAGCTGCAGATTTTGGAATCTTTTTCTTGTAATTAATTATGTTCCCAATGAAGTAATGAAGCCACATATTGGGAGGAGGGAAGGAAGGCAAAGTGGATCTAGTGTCACTATTGATTTTCTGTCTCTTATTGTGATTTGTCACAGCTACCTCTCCTATAGATACTGCATTCGTGGGGTGATAAGAAGTCATTTAAAAACAAAGCAGCTGATAAAATTGAGATCATTCCTTGGGAATCTCACCAGGGTATTGACTGAGATTTGGATGGGAACTCTATAAAATGGGTACTATAGTCAACCTCTCTTAGATATGATTTTAGTAATTCTTCTCCAGGCCAAGCATGGGTCATTTCATTTGAGTTCTTAATTATATGTAAAAAAATAACTGAAAGGGGTGGTCGAATAACTCAGGTGGTTAGAGCGCAGCGTTCTTAATGCCAAGGTTGCCGGTTTGATCCCTACATGGGCCACAGAGCTGCGCCCTCCACAACTAGACTGAAACAACTACTTGGCTTGGAGCTGATGGGTCCTGGAAAAACACACTGTTCCCCAATAAAATCTTTTAAAAAAATAAAATAAAATAACTGAAGTATATTTTGATGTCATAGACAACATATAGCAGATCTGAGATTAAAAGGTAATGAAGGGCTTCAAATTAACAGAGGAACATTAAAATCTCACAATAATTTACAATGTATGTCTTTATAATGTCTTTTTTTGAGTAAGCATGTTGACTTATGAAACCAAAGTTTCCAGCTTTGAAAAGTACCAAGCATATTGGTTGGCACTTAACTCAGTAAAAGTTTGTTGAATTAATATATTAAAACATATTTTTTTATAAACTATATAAAATATGTATAGTTTCTATATGAATGTTGGATTATTAGTTGGAAACTTACAGGACTCTTTGTAGACTCTGTGAAAGGATTTGAAATGGTAAGGACTACAGTAACTTGATCTGCCCTGGAGTGTAGAAACATTCCAGATACCTCCAGGTACTCTCCAAAAATGTGTCCTGAGAAATTCTCTCTCCACATTAGGCAAATCATTTACCATATCTCGGTTGCAGTCATAAGTGGGTGGAGAGAGCAGCCCAACTCTAGAAAAATGAAGAGTCAAAACAATACTGGCTTGGGCCGGCCGGGTGGCTCTGTTGGTTAGAGCGCGAGCTCTGAGCAACAGGGTAGCCATATCAATTCCCACATGCCCAGTGAGCTGCAACAGAGCTGAGCTGCCGTTGAGCTGCCAACGGGTGGCAGGATGGCTCAGCTGGTGAGAGCACATACTCCTAACAACAAGATTGCCAGTTTGACTCCTGCATGGGATAGTGGGCTGCATATTTCCCCCACCCCAAGCCCCCCTGCAACTAGAAGTGGTGACTGGGCTTGGAGCTGAGCTTGCACCCTCCCCAACTAGGACTAAAGGACAACAACTTGACTTGGAGTTGCTGGGTCTTGGAAAAACACAATGTTCCCTTCCCCAATTCCCCCAACACTGTTCCCTTCTCCAATTCCCCAATAAAATCTTAAAAACAAAAACACAATATTGGCTTATCAATGACTGCATTACAATTACATTAATTCATTTACTTGAATTTCATTTGTTTATATTTACACACATCTTGAACAAAATGGTGGCAGCTATGTCAAATTAGTCCTCTGTAAATAATTGCTTCTGTAAAGTCTTCTATAGTGGCTGGAAAAATATAAATGAAAAAAAAATAGATATACAAATGAAAGGATTAACTCCCCTGACCCTCTTTGTTACTGAATCATACATTTGAATCGGCAGTTAATCTTAAATCTTGGTAAATGAAACTGATGTACAAATGGCTGGCTTTATACTTAAGCAATAAATTCCTTAAAAGTTAGAAGTAAAGCACTTACCTATATATATCATGTATAACTACAGATGTTTGACCTTTGAACTTCATCTGTATATTGAACTTTTTCTATAGTTTCTACATGAATGTTGGATTATTCGTTACTCATTAATAAAATTATTAATTCTTCTCATTTTCTAGTTTATAATTAGCAAATGCATAAGAAGAGAGCAGGAGTTGGGTTCTTAGATGACTTAGATATCTTGATGTAATTGGTTCAAAAAAGGTAGGCTTTTTATTTAGGAAAAACAAAGAACTGATAGTGGCAGTTTCAGGAGTGAAGAGTTCACGGTTCTAAGTGAAACTGCCTGAAGGCTTTGTATCCAGTGCATGAATCTATGGGGTAAAGTGTTGATTTTAAATTCTGTTTCAGTAATTTAATTATTATTGCTCTTTCAGTTGTCAAATGTTTCACATTTATGAATTCACTTAGAACATATTTTAAAATGTTTTGATGTATGCACAGGATGTCCAGTTACGACTCTAAATTTTATTGGTCAATCTCGTGTGACCTGTCTTTCTGGAGAAGTTAGCATGAGATGTACAAGTTCAGCCTGTTATTCGGGCAACATGTATTTGTTTTTGAGAAATTTTTTTTTTCGTACTGTTTTTTATGAGAACATTAACGCTCTCAGGGAAACGACTCTACCACCGACTGCCCCATGGGAGAGGATGTGTGGGGACACCTGCGTCCTGCTGTTTGGAGCAGAAAGAGCTGCTGGTGAGAAATTGGGGTAACTGACAGCCTTGGACGAAGTAGAAAATAGAGAACAGCTGCCTTCCTCTCCATCACTGACACTAATGCAAGCAATTCGGAAGGTGTCTCCAAAACCCTAGAAAAGGAAACCTTGGTGACTTGATTTAGAGCCTTGAGTGGGGAGCACATTAAGTGTACTTGGCACATAATAGGCACTTGATAAATATGTGTTGAAACCAAGGAAGAAGGAAGGAAAGAAGGAAGGAAAGAAGGAAGGAAGGAAGGACGAACTTTGTAAAGTTTTGAAGCACTAAGTAGCATATCCAAAAGTTTGGTACATCTCATTGCTGGGGATAATAAAGAACATAACTCCTCTTCTTAACAAAAATAACTCAAAAGAGTAACTCCCCACCTACAAGTAAGAAGGAAGGGACTTTTGGTCAGTCTAGTAACCAAAGGGAGTTATAAGTGTGCTTGTGTGAATCTACAAAGGAGCCCGTTATTCTTAGTACCTTCTTATTGTGGAGCTGTTTGAAGCAGAAAAGGGAGTATTAGAATATGCACATTCCTTACAATAAGATTTTGCTTTTTAAAAATAAGAACACGAGCATTTTCACAGCCTGAAACAGAAGCATAAAGCAAGCAGTTGCTAATCGAAGCAGACACTGGTGATGGCTTCTTCAGCGTGTGGGTCATATACTGTCTGTCGGCTTGAAATCTTTGACCTTGTAATCTTTTCTGAATATACAAAGGCTGGGAGATGTGTAAAGCTTTGTTAAAAATTTCCCAAGAACCCAATAAATGTAATCTCACAGAATGGGAAATTTTGATAGTATGTACCACTTACTGACACATTTTCATTGTGTGCTGACATTAATCATTCTCTAATAGGCTTTAACAGCGTTTTTTGTTCTTAACATCTTACCTGAGGTCTAAATGCAGCTTCACTAACATCCCTGAGAAGAGAACACATCTGAAGCTTCCTACAGAAGAGGAGTGAAGTGTGGGATGGATGAATCCTTGCATTTCCCTCTGCCAGCTGGGAAGCCTTGAGCATCTGATTTAATTTCTCTGGGTCTACTTTCTCCCACTCCATTGGTAAAATTAAGGATAATAGGATCTGTGTCACAGGGTGGTGGCTTGTAAGGATTAAATGTGATGATATATACAAAGTGCTTTGATTAGTGCCTGCTACAGAATAAGTAAGTACTCTAATGTTTCCTAAATCGTTAAAATTCGAGTTGAAATGGGTGAAATGCTTAAAAAATTTGAAAACCATGTTTGTAAATATGCTGCTTTTTAAGGGATAAATTCCAAAGAAAGTGGTATGTATGTCCTCCTTCAAGTAAAAATGATAAATTCAGAAAAAATTTATTCTGGATAACTAACACACAGTTAGTTATGCACAAAATATCCCAGTGCTGAACTACGGTTTCCATCAACTCTCTACTACCTTATGTTAAATCTGGTGATGGGCTATTTATCTGGCGTCGAGTGTCAATATTCCAAAAGTTTCGTTTTTTTAAATAAATTTTTTATGATGATTCCAACTATTTGTGAAAACGAAGGCACTTAGTTGCCAGTTAAAAGTGGGATAATTTTTCTTGCCGCCCCACCACCTTATGCTTACGTGTCAAATAACCCAACTAAAATTTTAATTTAGTTCAAACATTTATCAACTGCCTGCTATATTTATGGAACAAATACTATATTCAAGAGTCTTTACGGGAAAGAATGCAAGCCACTTAGGCCGATATTATTTAGAGTCTTTATTTATGGACAAAGATTGATGCAAATGAACAGATCTGTGCCATCATGCCCCAGCATGGCGTAGGGAGACGTGGCCTGGACCTCCTGCATCAGGCCTTCAAAGAAGGCCCGCACATTTCCAGTAACAATCTCATTTCCTCCAATTCCCCAGGGAAAGCAGGCGGTCGGTGTTCTTGATGATATCGCCTGACATCACTGCCTCTGGACGATAGGAGCGCGTGGCCCACCTCATCGGTGGCCTGACCGCATTAACCTCCGGGTTCCCAGCTCCGGCTACGTGAGATGTCCTAATATGGTCCGATTCCTAAGGAGTCCTGGGGCGCTGGCCTTTCTCCTGCTAATGGGGAGGAGGCAGGAACACACGTTTAGTCCCACAAAATCCGAAGGAAAGCAAATGAGGACTTGGGCTTGCTTCAGGGCGAGTTGCAGGTCAGCTGCAGCAGAAGCTCCTGTCTTGGGGGTATCTATCATTAAGAACCCCCTGCTTATCCCATCTCCCCGGGAGGCTTTCTGTGCTCCCCTCTTTCTCCCTCTCCTCTCACCCTCGGCAGCTCCGGGTCATTCCCCAGTTTGGTCCCCATTTTGAGCAGGAGGCACCCGGGGGGCTGCTCGCCTGGACCTTGGCTTGCGGCTCCCGCTGCGCTTTGGGTCCTTGCAGCCTGGGGGGAGATGTTGCTGCAAGGCGTGTCTGAGCTGTGCTCATGTGATGAGGCGAGGGAAAAACAACGGGGGGAGGAGGAAGCAAAGAGGTGGCCTTTTTTTTTTTTTTTTCTTTTAAGGAGTTTGCCCTGAGCGCGTCTGCTTCATTCGCAGTCTGGGCGCGTTGGGAGGAGGAGCGCGAGAGGAAGGAGCCTTTGGGACCTGACCTGCGCACGGCTCCTCTCGCTCTGCTCCGCGTCCCTGCGATTTGGAGAAGGCGTAACCCGGCGGCTGGGCGCGGGAGAACCTCGGAGAAGCCATGGGAGCTGGGAGCTCCACGGAGCAGCGGAGCCCGGAACAGCCGGAGGCGGGGAGCACGACGCCGGCCGAGCCCCAGCCCAGCGGCGGCGGCGACCCCGCGGCGGAGGCGGCGCCCGGGGCGCCAGGGGACCCGGCCATCGCTGACCCGGACCCCGCCATCAAGGTACGGGCGCGCCGGGCCACCTGCCCCGGGGAGGCGGGGGCGGGAGGATCCCTCCGATTTCCGCCTGCGAGAACTTCCCCGCCGGTCCAGCCCAGCCCATCTGCAAACTCGCGAGCAGGAGCCCCTCTTTTCAGGTTTTTTTTTGCGCCAGGGCGGGACCAGAGCAGCAGTGAGCGCGGCGGGGGGCTCGCATCTTTGTCGTGGGTCTCCAGGGGAGGCGACTGCGCCATCCGCAGTCATAAAATCCAGCCCTGGGCGCGCTGCTAACCGAGCCTTTCTCCACACTCTTCCGGTGGGAGCGACCCAGCCCGAGACACATGGGCTACGTGGGGGGATCCGTGGAGAATTGACTCCCAGGCCCAGCGCCTGGAGCCCCCGGCCCCGCTTTCTCCACGATGAGGACAGCCAGCTGCTGGGCCGTGACCTGTGTTGCAGCCTGGCGAACGGGCCACCCATGGGTTCCCCGCCGCGTACGGTCCTTATCACTAGCTGTGCCTGGAGAGACCGGGGTTTGGTACCCAGTCCTGCGGCAGCGGCTGGAGCAGACACCGCCTTCCTCATGCAGAGAAAGCCTGGAGGGTAGCTCGCTCCGAGCCAAAGAAAACCTGGGCAGACGCTGCATTTTCAAAAGGAACGACAGGTTTCGCAAACAAGGCAGCGTCTTCTTTTTCGCTCTGTGCATTGCCTGTGGACTCATTTGGATAAACAAATACTGGAGTAGTTAGAAGTTCTCGAAGGAAGCGGTCTGGCAGGAGCGCGCATTCCCTGTACGCTTGTCAATGGAGGCAGTGCTGAACCTCCTAGGAAATTTGCATTTGATAGTCTTAAATCTTCCAGATTGAAATATTTATTCCTGGCCACTGTAGCCGCCAAGTTTGTGACTTGTTCCCATCATTGTATTTTAGATCTGTTTTCCAGCATGTGTGTTCATTAGTTAAGGCGTCACCCATCCTGTGTTGTGATATCCTTATAGGTCGGAAGATGTGGGTAACCCCATACTTAATGCTTAAAAAAAAAAAACCCTAGAAAAACATGTGTCGAATTTGAGACTACAGATTAAATGAGGACCTTTAAGAGTTGCCTCAGGAGGTATAGATGTTTAATGTATTTATAGGTAAACCTGTTTAATGTTTTTATAGGAAAAACACCAGGCTGAAATCTAGGTAAATTTCACAGAAGTATGACTTCATCGCCTTGACCTCGTTAGTTGTCCTAGTCTAGTTTGGGCTGAAACTGCCCTTAGTAACTAGATTACCTCCAGTCCTTAATTTACAACTGCTTGTAAAATCCATGGCCCCTAGAGCTGTGGATATTAACAACTACTTACTGCCCAGTATACTAGATTTCTACGCAGTGCCTAAGGCTTGGGCCTAAGGAGTGAGCTATCCTTTTGAGGTCTGAGTCACATTTTAATACTTATTGTACATCACTTCTTGATACCAACTACTGTCAAAACAGCTGCATAACCAGTATTTAGATTCCTGTAATGAAAGTAATTTTAAGGTGCAATTGATGAAAGCACTCGGGTTCATTTTTTTCCTTGGCTTTTACTCCTCCTCCTCAGGTCTTGTTAACATTTCACACTAGCATATGGTACGTATTCCCTTCCCAGTAAACTCACCTTGGTTCATTTAAAAATATTTATTCAATTCTCTTATTCTCTTCTTGTTATAACCTTCCTCTATAAACTTACCTTTCTCCCTCTTTGCTAGTCACCACCATCTTGAAAGAGCCAAACCACCTCCTTAAAAAAATTACTTCAATGACATCCAGAATATCACCGCACTTTTTGGCATTCTGCCCAGTTATCAATTTGGAGGCCATCAATAATACACTTATATGTATCCTTGGAAAATGTGTAGCTTTTCATTTCAATTTGCAAAATTTATTACTCAGGTTTGGAAGACCTGAGCCTTTTCAAAGGGACTCCCCCAATTAAGAATGACTCAGCATGGGACTGCTTCCTCCCTGCTTCGCCCTGTTGAGCTCTACTTCCCGACCTCTGAGTAATCCCATCTGCCATTCTAGGCTCCCATGGCACCGTGGACCCATCTTCCTAGCAGTTTCCACATTTGTGGGTTTACTGACTTGACTAATAAGTGTTTTCTTGGCTATTCTGAATGTTTCACAAGGGCGGGGACCAAATCTGTTTTGCTTATAACAGGTGTTCCCCCGAGTGTGGCGTGCTGCCTGGCACGGAGCAGGCTCTCAGGAAGGGATGGCACTAGCTCCCAGGTTTTGATTGGAGACTATCAAGTTGGGGAATACTTTGGCCCGTCTAATTTTTCTATGACTTAACCTTTGACCTTCTCATCATGAACCATCTCATGTATCACAGACAGTGACTATGTTAAGTCAGTCTGTTTGCTTACTATTAGATCACGAGACTATTTTGGCAAAAATCCTCAGATTTGGGGACTATTTCTCTAGAAAGAGTGGCATGTTAGCCCTATAATTTCAAATTGCCTTTAATCTCAAATAGACCAAATATATTAGCCACAAATATGCAAGTGGCTCAAATGAGACCACGTCAATACATTGGATTAGTTAGGAATAACATCTTGAGCTTTCTGGGTTGGGTCTATGGGCATTTAGGGAGGTTCAGACTAAATACGTCGTTCCCTAACCCCCAGTAAATGCTGGTCATTAACTAAAAGCTGTTAGTAGATTTTTTTCCCCATCTAAATGATATTTGTATCATATGCTTACTTACCTATTTAGCAATCTAGTTTACTTTCCTTTTTTCTGCTAATTTTAGTTATCAGTTACTGAGTAAGTGCTCGCAAGTAAGTCAAAGTTGTTAACACTAATTGAGTTATTGCTCCTACTCAAGCCTAACATTTAGATATAGTGAGGCAGAAGTCTTGGTTTTATCTGGGGTGTTTTTCAATAAAATGGAGTCTTCCAGTCAATCCTTTACAATCCTAATATGTAAATTCTGGGAGAAAATGGCTCGATCAATTATTTTGTAGGTTTAATTTTGAGGCTTGGGCCATTTTGGCTACTTGCAGGGATATTAGACTATCTAAACGTAGGTGGTAAATAAAGCCTTGTACTAATCCTCAATCGTTGGCTTTAAAAAATTTGTCTTCCAAAGAGTATTTCAATCAGGTGGCAATATAAAGTGGGGTGACCCAGGACAAATTTACTTCATGTCTCTGGCACACCTTGATTTCTGGAGCCAAGCTCCAGACTAAGTCTGGACAATCAGAACCCTCTAATTAGCTTTTCTGTGTTCTCTACTCAATGACCTTGGAGCTGGAAATGGAACAGTAGTCAGTTGCAACAGCGTGAGGCCAGCGTCCCTGGCAGGTGGGGAGAGGAGGGTTCCTGTCAGTCCTTCAAGCTGTGGTTCCATTTGGTTACAAGAGCTGAATCACCAAAACATAAAAATGTACTCACGTGGAAGAATCCATTAGCTGATTAGTAGATTGAAGGATGACTTTGCCCTGCATGCATTAAAACAGACAGTCGAGTTGACCAGATGCATTTCATAATTTCTCTCCCGGCCTAAGGTAGTGTACTTTCTCTCACCTGCTTTCTGTCTATAGAATGGAAATTGAGACTGAAGATGGCCTTAAAGTGATGTCACCAATTTTATACTAAAAGGGCCCGAATTTAAGATGATTAGGTGAGAATTATGTGTTTGTTAATGGAGTGGTGTTTTTATGTGTGTGGCTAACTGTATTCCTAGGGATTTCCTCCACATTACAAGAGGTGCTAAATACTTTCTGATTGGAACACAGTCGAAAAATTGGAGATGTGGGTGTAAGGATGATCATTTAGGATAGCCATAGCCTGTGGGGACAGCAAGGCCTTCCCTGGAATCTATGATAGCTGTTGAGACTGTTAGATGTATGATATCAGCAGAGATTTCCACTTGAAATACATCCTTCTATGAGGCACAGGCCTCAAACGTGCATCTTTTTGAATTCACTTTAGGTCATCTAAGCTCTGTGTCTGGATAGCTTTAAACTGATATTATAGGGTTATGCTAGCTTGGTATCTTAAAAGATAATTAATAAAAATGCAAATAAAATGTTTTGTTTCAAAAGGTACTATAAAAGATTTTTTCTTTTCCTTCATCCGTTGTAACACATATTCGGTGTTATAAAACACCAATGAAAGGAAAATCAAGTTAAATGGTGCTTATTATCCTTGGCCCCTATAATTCTATATGCTGTCGTCATTCATGAAGTGAGAAATTAGAATTTATAGCACTCAGCATTCTGAGAAAAATATAGTTAGCACTTTAAGCTCAGGAGAAAAAAACCTAAATAACCTTAAACCTAATTCTTAGTTCTCTTATAACCTAAAAACATTACAATTTAGAATAAGTTTCATTTTAAAATAATACAGTGGAAAAATATGAATTAGAAAGCTGGGTTTGGAAGGGAGAAGCACGATGTGTAAGCTTATTTTCTTTTTCTTTTTTTTTTTTAAAGATTTTATTGGGGAATCGGGGAAGGGGAAGAGACAAGTTGCTGTCCTTTTGTTCTTCAATCTAGTTGTGGAGGACGTTGCTTCACTGGCCCATGTTGGTATTATCATTGCGCTCTTCCCGGGTGAGGCAGCTGCTTGCCGGCCATTGGACGGCAGCTCATGAAAGCTCACGCCAGCTGCAAGCCAGCCCCACTGCAGCCTACACAGTCACTGGCAACTCACGGCAGCCCAGCTCCAGGTTGAGCTGTTGTTCACCATCTTAGCTGTAGAGGGCAGTGTCACTGGCCCTCATGTGGGATCCGAACCAGGGTCCTGCTTCTCAGAGCTGGTGTCCCAAGCCAACTCCTAACCAACACGCCACTCAGCTGGCCCGTGTAAGCTTATTT